AAATAGAAGATACAAAAAGAAGAAGTCCAGTAAGACAATTACCAAAAGATAAACCAGAAAAAAAAATGGTTAAAAGGTACTTTTAAGAAGCCTCCGGGTCAAATACGAATTCACAGGGAATTCTAACAACCTTTAAAGGAATGAATACACTCATGTGTTGCTTCCCAACAGAGGTATGTTTTGAGAGACGTGTCATTCAGCAATTTCATCATTGTGTGAGCATCACACAGTGTACTTAAACAGACATATATGGCATAGCTTACTGATTTTATTATCCATGTTAGGTTACACAAAATAATTAGGCTACAAAACTGTACTGCACATCACTGTGCTGAATACTGCAGGGAGCTGTAACACTGTCGTAAGTATGTGTGTCCCTAAATAGATGTAAACATACAAAGGTACAGTGCAAAGTGGGACCATTATCACACATTGGTCCATCACTGACCAAAACATGGTTATGAACTGTATGACTGATTTTCAGGGCAGACAGTTGTAGACGATGGTAATACAATGATATTTTCTAAATTATTTTGTGTGGCAAGTGTAGGATTGTCATCAAAATCTAATAGAGGTTGCACAAAAAGGGAATCTCAGTCCAAACTGAGTTTTGAATATTTTTTAAATTATTTTTTATTAAATCACAACTTCGTACATTGATGCATTTATGGGGTTCAGGGTACTACTTTGATATACAATGTGAAAATCTTACATTGAACTAAGAAACAAGTCCATCACAATTGTACTCATTTCTTAATGAGTTTTGAATATTGATGGAAATACCTTAATTTAGTGGGAAACAGAATTCAGTAGCACACTAGAGAAAGCTGTGTCCTTACCAAGTGTGATTTATTTGTGTAATGAGAGGATATGATAATAAGATCTCCTTAGACTTCATGTACCATTTATTAAATACACAAAATAAAACTCTTAGGGATTTTTCAGTAGAAGATGGTGGTTTGAACAACAGTCCTAAATTTGCTCTTCCTCAGTATTTCCGTACATTATTTAAAAGGTGATATTTTTAAGGTATGGGAAGAGGAGCAGACACAGTAATATTTTAGGGGCCAGAAATCTATTTTGATAAGGAAAAACTCATAAAGCAGACACACAAGATAGCTAGATTCTAGGCAGGCCATGGAGAAAGCCAAGCAGTGATTCCATTTCTACCATAGAGTTTTCAAAAGGCTTAGGATTTGAGGCTCTTGATACCTCTGAAAGGAGGGCAAAGAAATGCCGGTTGAAATAAAGAAGATAGGTACAAACTATAAAACAGTTGCATACCAACGAGGGTTAAGGGAATGACCCCCGATGTTTGTTTTTGTATGAATATTTCTCGCATAAGCAAATGGACAAAACAAATTGGCCGAGGTCAGTCCCTGACTCCCCTTGGAATGTAAAGCAGTTACCCCCAAACCCATGTTTCTCAGTGACTGACCTTCTCCTATCCTCGGAGAATAATTCATATGCCAGAGAGAGGGAAGTAGAATTTCTTACCTGGGGGATGCCTGGCACAGGAGTGGGTGGAGGAACTCTATTGAACACAGGAGACTAAGTGATGCTGTGAGGGGTTAGTCTCCACATGCCCTGTCTCTTCTATTCACATCTCAGAGCACTTGTGTTCAGGCCTTTGTCTTCTAGCCAGCAAATTGAAAGACGAATCTGACCAAAGAGGAAAGCCTTCAAGTTATTGAGACTGGGCTGCTCTACACAATGAAACTCCAATAGCCTGATCCTGGTTGCACAGAGTTTCCAAAGAGCTCTTAATTCCTGACTCTGCAACTTTATCAGAGCAACTAAAGATACCCAGATACCTGAGGAATGCCTGCAACATGAAATATAAACATAGAACCAAAATAAAACACATAACCAAACAAGATATAAAACAGAAAAATTTCAAGAGAACACCGTTTAGAGAGAAAAAATTCAAAAACATTAATATTTTCAGAGGTTAGATAAGATAATGCCTCCATATAATCAAAACAAAATAATAAAAAAGAATATTTAGAGAACAAAAGGAACTCTTAGAAATTAAATACACATGGACATAATAGCATAAACAAAGGATGAATATGGAATTTAGAGGTGGCGTAGCCAACTCATTCCAGTTTGTCTTAGGACTAGAAGTCCCATTCCTGGGCAACCTTTCTGTCCTGGATCACCCTTGCTGATAAACCTCTGGAGCTGTTGGGCCAAAGGAAAAGAAATAAGGATTAGAGGACTGCCTAAGAATGTCCAATATCCAGAAACAGAAGGGAGAAGATAGGGAGAAGGAAACAAAATAATAATTCAAGAACCTTTTTCAAAACAAAGTTTTACAAATTAAAGGGTATCATCCAGTTCCTATCACCGTAGATGAAAATATACCCACATCAACTTGCATATTGGGGAATTTTCAGATTACTGAAAGCAAAAAGAAATCCTGTGTACTTTCTGCGAAAGGAGAAAAAAAGGATCCTCTACAAATGATTGGAAACTAGAATGATGTTGAGTTTTTCAACCTCATTGGACAAGGGAAGCCAATGTAACTTGGAATTTCATAGTCAAACAATTAAAAGCAAGGGTAGAATGAAGTCAGTTTTCAACATGTAAGGGGTCAAAAATTTGCTTCCAATTACTCCATTGTCCTGAAATCTCCTTTAGGGCTCATTCACTAAGACAGGAAACCAAGAAGACATAAGAGTTGAGATATTGACAACAGGAGCTCAAACATGAGAAGAGGCAAAGAGTTTCCCAGGATGATGGTAAAGAGAATCCCAGGACAACGGTTTATGCAAAGCATAGAAGACAAATGGCATAGATAGAAACAGGTACTTCAAGTGACAGGCTATTACCAGGAATCCTTTCACCTTTGTACCCTATTGTCCACCTGCTAATGCTCAAGTGAGTGTGGCCAAGTGCTGATAAAATTCTGCTCTCCTAGCTGCCTGAATAAACTGAAGATGCTACCTGATCCAACAAGAGTGTTCAGGTGTGACCTCATCCTGAGAGCTGGAGATTGGCCACAGTAAGCTTAGAAGTAGCACAACCTCTTCAAACATTTTCCTTCTGCCTGAATAGAACCTATGCCCTACCAGATTACCCACAGGAAAAACCTTTGCTTCCCATAGACCACCATAGACTTGCCTCCTGACATGCTGAGAATGGATTCTTGAACTCTTCAAGAAAAACTGAAGCCCAGTAGAAAGCAGAGACCCTGTTTAGATCACATTTTTCTGAGCACTTTTAGATATTGGTGACAATATACCTGTTTCTTATACTGTGAGTCTTGTGTTGACTACTCAGTTTTCATATTACTCACTTTTCACACTGACTAAGAAGTCTCATTAGCTGACATCATGAAACATTTGATTAAAAAATAAAACAAAATTGGAATATATTTCAATCTAAAAGCCAGCACCATTTTCAATGGAAAAGTACTACGTGTGTTCCTTTAAAGCTGCCCACCAACACAGTGCTGGAGGTATTAGTCATTGAAAGTAGACAAAAGAAAGAAATGAAATGTATAGTAAGTGGCAAAGAGGAGATTACACATCACTATGTTAGGTGATTTGATATTTTAGGTGATACACGTGAAATTTCTAAGGGAATCAACTAAATGACAATTACGATCAGTTTGGTAACTGAGTGATGTGTCTTGGTAGAGAATCAATAGCTTTCATATACTGATAAAGAAATGTTCCAAAATTGTTGTCAAATGAAAAAAAAATCACAAATGAGATGCAGAATATTGTAAAGAGAATGCTATCTTTTTTATAATATGTGGATGCTTATACTGTGTGTGTGAAACAAGAATATTTATATACATTTATATTTGTATATATTTGTATTTGCTTGTTTTGTAAAAGATATATACAGACATGTAGATTCTTTTTGCAATTTTTCTTTGTAGGATCAGACTTGTCACCCTTGTGATTTCCTTGCTCTCTCCACATAATTCATGGCTGCATTTGGTAGTTCCTGCATTCATCTTTGAGTCTTTGCATTCATCCCCTCCCCATGTTAAAGACCCACTCTGGTTAGACTATCCTAACCCCTCCTCTCTACAGTTGAATTTCTCTATATCTTGCACTATCAGTTTCACACAGCAACACGCGGCCTGGAGTTGAGGACTTAAAGTACTCTTTCCAGATTCACCTCTCCCTGATTCCTCATCCAGGCCAAACTCAACTCTGTAACCTACTGTGCTGTGAATGACAGCTCACTCTTCCGTCTCTCTGCTCACATGTTCCTAGCATCTTCCCTGCCCTCCCCTTTAACCCAAATGTCCTCCAAACCAAATCACCCAGCAGGATCCTTGCATTGATTTCCACTCCTCCCTACCTTTTCCATGAATATTTTTTTCAACCCCTGCTTACCTCCTTGGGATGGACTCTTTTCTTCTGTACATATTTCTCCTCTCAATACTTTTGAAAAATAAACTTAGCACCCTTTAAAACACTCTCTTAGAGGCTGGAGGTTGGGGACCGGAAGGAATTGGTGAACTAGACAAATAATATACTATGAAAGCAGGTGTCTTGTGAGGGGCATGAAAAGAGGTTTTCTTCTTACCAGTAAGAGATTCTGTCCTGTGTCTATAACAGACATATTTCCAAGTGTGCTTAACTTTCATCTGCTAACATCCTTTTTATGCCTTTCTTCTTCCCAGGATGTGACAGTCCCTCCCAAGCCTGTTTCACTCCATCCTTTATATCAGACTAAACTCTACCCTCCTGCTAAGTCCCTGCTGCATCCACAGACCCTCCCGCACGCTGACTGTCTTGCCCCGGGACCCTTCACTCATCTGTCCTCCTTCTCACTGAGTGATGAACGGGAGGACTCTCACACCCTGTTTAGTCACAACGTATATAATAAGGTGAGAATTTCCCACCAAAATGGGAATCATTCTGTGCTGTGAACTTTCATGACACTTAACTTTTAATACTTAAATGTGAAGGAAAACATAGATTAAGAATATTTAAATATTTAATAATGAATGTATTAAAATATTAAACATTTGTGTTGACGCACATTACTTTACAAACAGATGATAACTGACCATGGGAAATAATAAAAATGTATTTTTTCCCCCACAGTCATTTCCTGATTTGTGTTTCTCATTGTTTTATGTTCTAACCCCATGGTGGAAATTCCGGGACATTTTAAAAACCTTCCAAGGTGCCATTGTTCATTTATATTCTAATCTTAGTTCAGCATTCCTAAAAAGGTACTTGATGAGTCAGGCTATTATGATGACAGTTAGTGGGACAAGAAATACTTAGAATTATTGCAGGTAGCTGCAAAATAATATTAACATTTTATTTGAAAATGTGCCTATCTGCCTCATAGTAATGGAATATGTAATAAAAAATGACACATTCAGTACCTAGCATGTATACGTGGGCATGTGTACCTATGTGTGTGCGTGTGTGTGTATGTGTGTGTGTGTGTGTGTGTAGGAAGGTATACAATATAAAACAAGTAGAAAGTATTTTTAGTTGGCTTTTAACCACACGCTTTTGGTGAATTTGCTGAAAAGATCTTACAACTGTGACTATCTGTATCTCCTATAACTCAGGGGTGTCTCTCCCAAGGACTGGAAAGGCGTTCCTTTAAAATGTAATCATCACAAAACAGGGGGCCTCTGCCTCCCAGTCTCTGTGGGAGGGTAGAGTCCTGGCTTCACTATTGCTGTCCAGCAGATGCAGCTAGTCTAATTAGCATTTACTCTGACCAACCCTTTATGATTTTTTTCTCTTCCCTGACTTCCCTGAGTCTCCACTTGCCCCTTCCTACTCCCTCATTCTCCACTTTCACAGTAAAATGCCCAGTCACTTCTGCACACGTCAAACTTGAGTTCTGTCCATGTTGAATCTCTTCCCTATTGCAGTAGTTATTATGAATTAAAATCTGTCCCTACCACTTTAAAATAAATATTTATAGTTGGCTTTGGAATGCAATTATAAATATTTACACAGTCCGGCTACATGGGACTTGTGTGTAAGTTCCTTTTGATCTTCTGAGTATTACCATGAGGACATCCTGGTTAATACAGACTCTCAGGCCCTGAAGATTTCCTGAAAGAATTGACTGGTCAAACTCAAAAGTCAATTAAATATTTTTGTAAAATTAAAAATCTTACATAAAATTATTCATTTTACAAATTCCCTATATCCAATGAAATATATCTTTATATCTGGAAATTGATCAAGGTCATCTTCCAAAATGGAGTTAAACAATATTCCTTGGGCTACAGGACTTTTTTTTATAGCAAAAATATTCAAAAACCCAGTCTAAAAATGCGAGCAGCATGATATACACAGAAGAATTAACTTTTTATATTTAGTACCATCTATGACACTCCAATGGCTAATCCTAAATGAACAACTTTTAAAATTTTCTACCAATACAATGTTTTGGGGCAATGTTCAAGAGGATATTTTTATAATCTTTGGTTGTTTCTTTTTCCTGTTCCAGAAAAAAAGTAGTATATTAAGGAAAGTATAATATTTTTTTAAACATTTATATATTATTTGTAATTCTCCATGATTTAATAATTGGCAACATCTGTGAAATCTAATTAGTTATTAAGACAAATAATTATAATAATGTATTTCAAAATAATTTCATTCTAATAAGTTGCCATCCATGATAGGGTTATTTTATAGATATCTGTTATATGAAATAGCTCATTCTTTTGCTGTTTTGGTGATGGTATTTTCTGGAAATCTTCAGGATGAATAGACAGAGTATTTTATCCATATTTTAGCCTTTGATTAGACTGTGAAAAATAATATTTACAAGCCATGCGAAGTTGGACAACTGTTTTCAATCTGCGCAATCTTCATAAGAGAGTCTGTCTCTTTTGGAGTCTAAGATTTATTGATATTGAATAAAGAGCCATTCATTACAAAAATAATAAGAGTAATGATAGGAATGTAGTAATACCACATTTCTTTATGGAAGATTCCATTGGTTAGTCTTATATCTATTGCCCTATTAAAATACATATGTGTGAATTGATCATTCAATTTGATATTAGTGTTTTCAAACTTTGTGCTGGAGTTGTTGGGCTAATAGTATATTAATTTATCAATACTTCTCTTTTTTATATGAAATAGCTTCATGCCTGGGATTGTAAAACATAACTGCCATCTAAATTAACTTTTCTCCAGTCCCCTAACATTGCTCCCAAGTGTAACTTTACAGCTATGCTTACTGGGCTTATCTCTGAACTCACATCTTCCCATCCTGCCCTCTGGAGAGCCAAACTGAACTTGAACTGACCCATTGATCTTTAGAATCCCCTTTCATCTGGAGCTACACTAGATGCTCAACAGGTTTTATTCCCCTTCTGTTGAGTCTTCAGTGTCCTCACATCCCTTCTAAGTCTTTGTCAAACTTCTCAAGTCTTAAGTCCTCATTCCAATCTCTTCTCTCGTTTCTTAATTTCCAGATAGAGCGCTACACCAGGATGTCACATCATGTCTTATAGGGATGATTAGAGACTTTCCTTTCACCTTGGAATAAACTAGCTTATCCAACTTTTTTTCCTCTAGTCTCATAAGGAAATCATTCCTTTTGTTTCCTTCTTTAATTCTTAAAAGTCATGTAGCCTGGTAGCATGGTGCCACCAGTCAGTTGTCTGAGTTTATTTCTGGACCCAACCCCTTTCACTTGCTGGCGTTGGGCGGGCCATTTAGCCTCTGCATACCTCCATTTACTCATCTTTTGAACAGGGATATAAACAGTTCCCACCTTATCAGAGTGCTATGCGGATAGGCTGAGCTAAAACACTTGGAACAGTGCCTGAACCTTATACAGGTTAGGTATTATGATCTCTAATCCTTACCAGGATGTCATTCCTATTGCTGTCTTAAATCTTCATTCATTCTTTTTCCATTGAATGATTCCCATTTGTAAACAGAAACTTCAAAAGAAAAAAAAGCACTTCCCCATTCTTTTCCTCGATGCTGTTGCCTATCTATCAGTTTCAAAATTTTCCTCTTTCAAAGCATTCACTAGCCACTCTCTCCATTCTTTATCCACACACTCACACTTTAGCCCGTTAATAGCATCTTGACGCTCATTTCCCTCACTCTGCCGAAATTGTTCTTGTAAGGGTAAACTTCTTGTCCGCAAATTCAGAAGCATTTCCTCAGTCCTCTGTGTCTTTTATCCCTCTGTAGCAATGGACAGAATTGATCATTCACTCTGGAATGCCTCTCCTCACTCTGCTCTTGGGAAAGGATGTGCATTCCAGCCCCCTGCCTGCGCCTTCGCTGTCGCTTTGTGCCCACTTCTCGTCCCTTTCCTTCTTCCTTCTAAGTGCCTCACTTCAGATACTCGCCCACTCACAGCCCTTAGTAATTATCTTGGTAGAGATAAGTCTCAAATCCACGTTTTCAATTCTGCTCCCCTGAGATCCAGTTTCATTTCTTCTGCTGCTTGCTTATCGCTTCCCCTAGGATGTCACACTGTCACCTCATGCTCATCATTCATTTTGCCTCAAACTAGTTCTGCACTGGCTTCCCGACTTCCGTCACTAATACAACATTTTCTCAGTCCCCAAACTCCAAACTTGATTCACCTATTATGCTTTTTCTACTTTGTCCTTGTAGCTAGTCATTCAAAAACTTGACTGGGTTCTTCTTTTGCCGTGCCTGTCATATTATCTCACACTATTCTTTATCATTATTTTACTTTACTTAAAACTATCGACTTATTTTCCTCTAGGCATGCCTTGGGAATTTCTTACTGTTCAACTTGTTCATGCATTCTCCCCATAAAAAATACTCTCCTAAGTTTTCTTCACTCATACAAACCATTTTAAATTGTCCTTCCTCCTCTGGGAAGTTTCTCAACTCATCAGCATTCAAAGGGATTTTCTGTCTCCTTTCGATTTCTATAATCCTTGCCTGTGTCAAGGCATCTCAAATAAATACAAGATCGCCTAAAATCTAGGCTTTCTTCCTCACTGTATAATATATGGCCCCATCCTTCTTTCTTTAGCTACATGTTGTGCCCTCATAGGCTGCAGGTCAGCTACCTCTGTGCCCCCACAGCATACTGGGGAGAACATTGTTAGGTGCTTTCTGGGGACAGATAAACTTTGTAAGCTGTTTTCGGAACCATCATCTTAGAAGCCCTACATATCCTTCTCTGTTTTTCTCTTCCTGCTCCCTCTGCCATAGAGAACTCCGAAAGAGTCCATATTCGTGAGTCTGGCTACTTAATTAAAATTTATTTGTAACCCCAAGTCCATACTTACTGCACTCACTCTTGTAATCATCTGTGAACATTCACGGAACACGAAGACCTTGGAGTCCCCTGTGCACATGTTCCTCGCTATGGCTGAACCTGGCAGCACTCTGCTTTCTTGTTTTAGGTATAGTGTCGTAAATGATTGTCTTTTTTGTGATCCATCTAGTGTTTTTGAATTTGTTTTCTTTTGCAATTTGTTGGTGATTTTGCTGTTGAAAATGACCCTACACACAGTGTTGAAGTGCTGTCTAGTGTCCCTATGCACAAGAAGGCTGGGATGTGTCCTACTCTGTGGTGCTGTAAGCCATGAGTTCAGTGTTACTGAATTAACAACATGGGAGATAATTATCTTTTAACACAAATGCTCATGAAATAGGTTATTTATTGATTGGCTGATGGAAATGTGACCAGAGACTTCTAAGAACCCAATCCTGCATTTCCTCTGGGAGTTAACAGTTCAGAATTATCGAATTCCATGTTCATGGTAATTTTTAGGACCTACTTACTCTGAACAATGAGGATAATTATATGTTTGGGTTTCTTTAAGAAGAGGAGTCACATGATTTCAGGAGATGATTGCAGGTAGTAACCAGTTCCAGGAGTGGAGACTGA